TTTATGTCGCTGTATTGTTTTTTCTGTTTTTTAAAGGTAATAATGTTTAATAAAAATTATATTTTAAAAAAAAAGAAAGAAAGAGAAACAGTCGATCAGTTGGTTCAAAGAAATACAAGGAGTCTCTAAGGAGGGGTCTTCACTTACCTTACCACATCAACAGCACCTGCTCGCACCTTGGGGTCACTGCCCATAATGGAGACACTAGCTGTGAAGGAGCCATCAATACTAAAGACGACACAAGGTGTGCCCTTAGCTACCACTGTCAGAAAGCATTCAGCATAGGTGTGATCACCTCTGTGGAGAGACAGAAAAGTGTCAGCCCAAAAGCAAATATTCCTACACAGTCAGAATCAGAAATGCTCAACTTCTGCATTCAAACAAGCCATGAAGATAGAAGCAAGTGAGGGTGTTTTTCCCCCCTATAGTATAGAAAACCAAAGAAGGAAAAAGCCAAGCAGTTCAACTATTAACTATAAACCTGCAGAGATCCTGTGGTGAAGTACACCTCCAAGCATCCCCCACATCGGCCATGCTGATCGGGGCTGCTGGGAATTGCAGTTCAGCAACATCTAAAGAGCCACCAGTTGCTTACTTTCACTGGCAGGCAACTGGATTGTAACAATTGAACCTGTGCGCTAAATAGTTGTCAAGGCCAAATTTGAACCATTCTGGTCCAGAGGATCACATCCCACAATCAAGTGCTGCAACCAATATAATATCTGGCTCAGAGGCAGCTGCTCAAAAGATCAAGCACAGGAAAGGATCTACCATGCATTCACCTCACCACCATACGGATAGGGTACATGCCAATGCCCAGCATCTTCTCTTCAGGAAGGGTATAAGAAAGCCTCCCGCTACCACTTGTCACTTCTGTGCCATAATGTACCCATTTCCCTGACAATGGCTGTGCCATAATGTAGATATCGACCTGTAAAGAAAGATCAGGGTGGTGTTCACCTCATTGCATGTACTGTTATACTGCATCGCTAGCCACAAATAACACCTTGAAATTGCTAAATTACAGCTGTCAGAACACAAACCCTTCCTTCACTCCCACATTAAGTTGGTTTTTAAAAAATCCATATTCTTATAAGCTTTTCATATTCATTTCTCTGAAGGAGATAGGCAAAATTCTATTTTTTTAAACTTTTACTTAATTTCTACTACCTTTTTCTTGTACTTCTGTCCTTCTGGAAAACATCTGTTCTTTGCCTTCTCCAGGGTCTGTGGCCTTTTCATATTACAACTCCAACTACATCTACTCCATTTTGCCTGCAAGTTATTTCCTGCTCTTAGGATACACTTCCTGTCAACCACAGTGTCAATGTGAATGGCTTCCTTCAAACAACCCCCACCCCCTTTGATTTTAGACTGCTAGCTCATATTATGGATGAGCTCCGGGCTCATATCATTAACGGCCTCAACACAGCTCTAACCCTGGAAAAATGAGGAATTCGCATTAAGATGATCTGAAAACTGGTTCTACGGTAGGTCTGACAACCAGGCAACTGTCTGGGTTACCTAAACAAAAGAACTCCGGAGGTTTTCCCCAAAAACCTAAGAATCCCTCTGGCGGGATTCTATCCCATGGTCTTGGCTCAGCTTTAAATATGCAGTCATTTTGTCCTGGTAAATCAACCCTAGAATTAAAACCTTGGTTACCTTCTCTCCAGTGAGAGTTACCACATCAAGTGGACCATACATGAAGCGCCCACTAAGAACTTGGGGTCGCCCCTCACACACAACCGCATCACTGGCACGATGGTTTGCTGTAACATTCTGAGAAACAAAAAGCCAGACGTTATTATTAACCTCATCATTGCAAAACTGGGCAAAGGGAGAATTTCTCAAGATATGGATGACTGCCGTGAGATTGCAACAGAGCTGGTTGGAGAATTTAAATACCTTGAATTACAACTCATGAACGGAACTCATGCAACAACGAAGAGTTATTTCGAGCGGGCAGGAGAATCTTACTATATAATAGCTATCTGTTTTTCTAACTGCCTTAGAAGGACGTTTGTGGGACTGAACGGGTCTCCTTTTTCTTGGTTGTGTGCCAATTTGATTAACAATGTAATGCTATCTTTAATAATAAAATCAGCTGCCATAGGATTGATAGGGATATCTTGTATTGAGTTTTCCTTACTAACAAAACAACCATTATATTCCACTAGAGAAGGCAGCTTATCACCTTTTATGTACTATGAGTAAATGAATTTTCATCCTACATTTAGCAATATGACCCTACATTTAATTTGCCAAGAGCTTGTGTTTTGGGTGCCAGTGCTCATAACCATTACATCCCATACAGCTTGCTGAGGGGCCGAAACCTGAATTTAGAAAAATTCAAGATGTTATGAAAGTGAAATAACTCTCCCATTCAATAACAAAAACCTAATATATTATACAAATAATATTATCTAAGTAAAATCAGATTTTGAACTGCAACAACAGTATGTCTGTCATTCCTGCAGAATCAAAATGATTATTCTAAAGTTTAGGGGAGTTAAAGACAAACAATGTGAGATCAACACTGGTGATGGATTCAGGAACATTATCAGCAGAAAATAAATAGGATCAGATTGTGTATCTTCCTACAAAGCCAGTAGAGCAACCTCAGCCAGACCTCAACACATGCCCTGAAAACTACAAAAAACAAAAACAAAAAAGACCCAAAAAAGCTGAGGGAAGCCACAGCAGGTTCGTACCCGGATCTTCACTTGTGTGCGTTTACGCTGCCACTTTTCACGGGGAAATGCTGGGCTGTAGATCGAACTCTCCTCATTCTCGGTCACTTGATGCTGCTCCGTCTCAATCACCTGCAATCAAAGACTGTAAATTCTAGGCCTCGAAAAATATCAGGCAAAAAGACAGATTCGCCCTCCATTAATATGTGGCCATTATTTAAAAGGAACAATTCCTTAACTTTCGGCACCTAGATTGCTGCAAATGCGGACAAAGCAAGCACTTTTGCCATGCTTCTGCTAGCCTTGGCAGAATAGTGCTGGGATCCCTATTATCTCTGAGGCACTGCTTCCTGGTATTTTTCCAAATGCAATTTTTGCTGACTTGGCACTTGTTAATGAATGTGGCATTTAATCTATAATGGGTAATACAAAATTAAGGGCCACATAGCAATGTACAAAATTGAAATTTTGGGAGAAGCAGCCAAAGTTTTAAAGGTCATTGATGTTTTATTATACCCAACGATGCCAAAAGGCACAGCATAATGGAGTACGTAGAGGGGTTGTTGTTGCAATGTATAGCTGCATGAACACCTGTAGAGTTATAAACAAATGTTGGCTTCAAAATAAAGCCAAGCAAAATGCTATAATTCTGTGAGCCGTGGGAGATTGTGCAGCAGTTTTATGCCCTATAACAGACTGTGCAATTACTGTATATAATACACCTACAATTATACACAGCAGAATCTAACTTTAAACATAAAATTGCATGCATATTGAAACCAACACAACTGTGTGGGTGTATGCAGAAAAGCAGCAAAACAGGGGTCCTCCTCCCCCCTGTAAGCGTTTTTCTGCCTGCAATTTTTTTCCCCATTTGTGATTCAAGAAAAGAGGAAATACTAAAGGCATTATGATTTTTAAAAGATTTCCGCTGATAATTATAATTTTATTAAATTAGAAAACAGGAAGGAGGAATAGAAATTCTGGTAGCAGGATGGAGTGGAATGTGTATCGTGTGTCTTATGAAGGGGGCACTGGAATAAAACCTAGGGCAGTTGGGCCATGGTTATTCTCTACAGATGATCCTTAACTTAGGACCACAATTGAGCCCAAAATTTCTGTTGCTAAGCAAAATATTTGTTAAGTGAATTTTGCCTCATTGTAGAACTTTCCTTGCCACAGTTAAGTGAATCACTGCAGTTAGTAACACAGTTGTTAAGTGGCTTCCCCTTGTGGCTTGTCGGAAGGTCACAAAAGAGATCAATCACATGGCCCCAGGACACTGCAAAGTGTTATAAATACATGCCATCTGTCAAACGGCTGAATGTTGATCACGTGACGATGGTGATGCTGCAACAGTCATTAAGGGTGAAAAATGGCCATAAGCCACTTTTTTCAGTGCCACTGACTGCTTTGAACAGTCACTAAATGAATTGTTTTAAGTAGAGGACTACCTGTACGACTGTGCTGTTTCAGCTCTCCAGGAATTCAAACAAAAGTCTTTCTCTTTTGGATGGAGATGCTAAGAATTAAGTGCAGGACATTTGGAAATCTAAGCACATCATTTAGCAGCTAAACTCTGAGTCTCAGAACTCATCTAGACCTGACCTGTACAGATAAAATTTAGCCACCAAAGGACACTAGATTTCTATGCCTTCTACCTTAGACCGCTTCAAAAGGATCCTGCATCATTTCAAAGGAAGTTTCAGGTTTCTATGATCCCATGATGACAGACATGGTCAAGAGATGAGCCCATATATTTCCAACTCAATAATGGGGTGTTTAAAAACTGAAAGAAAATTCCTTCCTTAATTTTTTCATGAGAAATACTCTTCCCCTTTTTGCATTTAACAAGGCATTACAGAGGCATCTAGGTGCATATGCATGCAAGCAATCTATTTCATTCTCCTTTTTGCCCAGAGAGGCGGGCGATGCGATTTCTTTTCTTGCAATACCTATAGCAGTCTGGCAGTGGGGCAGTGATTCTTTGATTGATGGCCTGAAAGACAATCCCAGATCATCTTTAAGCTGCTTTTGAGGGAAGCTCCCTTAGTTGCCTCTGGTCAAATCAAGCCATTAAAGGAACCAGTTCCACAGGACATACACATGTAAATTTCTACCTTGCTTGCAAAAGCCCACCTGGCGTAAGATGAAGGCAGCCACATCAGCACTTTCCCAATAGCTGGCATGGAAAAGGTGAGGCAGGGTGATGGTGGGAAAGGCCGTGAGTGCCTCGGGGCAGTAGAGAGAGTAGTCGATGCGTTTTGAACCCCACCAACGATCCAGAACTAGACCAAAGGGAAGGAGAAATCACATTAGCACAATCCCCTGAAGATGTCCCTATTTTTTTTCCCTTTCTCCTCTAGAATAGATAACAAGGTCCTTGGCAGGTTTGGCGCTGCTTTTATTGGTCATCCTTTTCTTATATTTCTCTATATTTTACCCTTCCAAAACCATATAAAGATTCAAAATACAAGGGAAAACAACCCCGGAAAAAGAAATGGTGTGCATTAATGCATTGTATCTTTCATCTTATAAAGCTATATAAAAAATTAGTACAGATATAGTGGATCCATCAATTAGTCCTTTGCAGATATTAGTACACTCAAGATAGAAACATCACGTTACACTGACTAAGACCTCAAAATGTTTGACAAAACAGAAATGAACAACGCATTTTTTAAAAAAGCCAGGAAAACATGTCTTTTCAATAGCTTTTATCAAGATACATGAACAAAGTTACAACGTGGGAGATTGTTGACGTCTCCAGAAGGTTAGGAACAATACTGACTAGCAGCAAACCATATCCATGTTGTGACATATGCTAGAACAGAACTATAGTGAGAAAGCTCATTCCCAAGGTAACACAAATACTGTAACATCTATTTCTTTCCGGCAAGTTAATGTTGCCTATGTGCTTAATAAAAGCAGAAGGAAGTAATAGCCAAAGGAGGTGACTCTAAGTGAAATCTCAGCTTAACAGTGAACAGTTTCACTAACACTCTGATGAATACTTTTTCAATTTATCCCCCCCCCGCCCCCCGCCCCCCGCTCCCCAAAAATCACAAAAGACTCAAGGATCAAAGGGCACTTGCCATAAAGGTAAAGGTTCCCCTCGCACATATGTGCTAGTCGTTTCCGACTCTAGGGGGCGGTGCTCATCTCCGTTTCAAAGCCAAAGAGCCAGCACTGTTCGAAGACATCTCCGTGATCATGTGGCCGGCATGACTAAATGACAAAGGCGCACCGAACGCTGTTACCTTCCCACCACCCAAAGGTGGTTCCTATTTTTCTACTTACATTTTTACATGCTTTTGAACTGCTAGGTTGGCAGAAGCTGGGACAAGTAACAGGAGCTCACTCCATTATGCGGTGCTAAGGATTCGAACCGCCGAACTGCCGACCTTTCTGATCGACAAGCTCAGCATGTTAGCCACTGAGCCACTGCGTCCCCTGACTTGCCATTAAATGCATCTTTAATTTTAAGCTGCAGTTGCCTAAAAGTGCAATTAGCATTAATTTCTAAGCATTAGTACAGATATGGCAAAGCAATTCAATATTCTATTCTTCCACTTCAATGGAAACTATAGCCTTGTTTTTAATGATTAATTTCTGATACACGTCTCTCCCTACCTCCAAGTAATGACTGGGGTTTAAAAGAAACACACAGACCTCACATGCTTAATACAAATATTCTTTTAACATCATATCTAGTTTGATGATAGTTATCAAAACGTCCGCAGAAACGTTTAAAGCTGTTTTATAACACTCTGTTCCTGCCAGAAATTGAAGTGGCCCAGGTCTGCCCAGAACTACATTCTTAATCACCATAATGGCCCTTGGATGTTTCTGAGCACTCCAGAAGTGACATAAAGTGGCCCAGTGTGGGCAAGCTATGGCAACACTGTGGAATTTGGGTTTTCCACTCAATGAACAAGTATTTTCTTGGCACCACAGTAAATTGCAATCTTTGCAAAATGTACTCATTTGCTTCTCAGAAACAAGAACCTTTGTTCAGATTTCTGTTTGAATCATCAATGAATCTATTCAAGGAACATTCTGAACGGCTGACATGAAAGAACAGCTTTATACACCAGCCTCAGGGATACAAGAGAGACACAGTAAAGATACATAGCTTTCCAGCAGTTCAACTAAATAACTAGATGACACATTTTCTAATATTTATTGTTTGTAACACCTAAAGCAATCAAAACATGACTCAACCTGCCAAAAATAAGAATATCTAAAAGAAAATAATGCTTTTTAAACGTAGAAAACTCATGGTAGCCTTACCTATCAGCAAATGGATTCATAATACCAAATGGCCCACTAAGCTGACAAAAATGAACAATAGATGCATAGTCAAATCTGGTTTTGAGGAAATTAGTATAAAAAGGCAGCAAGTAACTCACTCTTGACAACTTCATTGGTGCTGGTTGCAGTGCTGTCACTTGCAGCTCCCTCATTTCCTTTCCAGAAGCCTCCAAATGCACCTGTTGGAGTGGGTGGTGTCACAAGGTCTAGCTCACTCACAAAGAGGGAAGAATGACTCTGCAAGGCGTCGGCTAGTTCAAGGAGAAACATAAGCAGAGATAAACACAATGATGGCATATTTCCAATCCTCCATTACTGTACTGCAGCACCAGCCTTTCCTAAATTCATTGTTTCCAGCTGTATTGGAACTGTAATTCTCGTAATTTCTTTTGCGGAATTAACTTAGCAAGATGGCACAAGATTGCCACTCCTTAAAAGGAAATCGGTACGTGTACACTACACACACCCCTCATACACACACAATATATCAGTAGTTTCAGTCATGACATGGATCCTGCAATGTAGTGGGGGAGAAAACTGGATTAGGATCAGAGAAACTCAGTTCTCATCGGATGACTTTGGCCCAGTCATTCACCTCTCAGCCCAACCCTTTCAATGGGTTATTTGAAGGAAAACAAGAGAAGGGAGTGTCTTGAGCTGGTGAATGACCTGTTAATATATGTATAATATTATGCAATATGTAAATATAATAAACACTCTAATGTTTCTATGGACTTTCTCCTACAATAGCACTCTCTCTCTCTCTCTCTAGGCTCCAATTCCTCAAGAAATATTCCTTGCTCAGCTTCCTCTCTGCAGTTGTCTCAATGCAACAGAGCATGGCATCAGAATGCATGACAGGCAAACGTGACAGGCTCCTTAGCATGGCAGATGAATGTAGAGGATTCCTCAGGAGCACTGGGGTCACCAGTCAAAAGCACATCTGCAGTTCCTCTTACTTTATGCAGCATTCTAAAAGTTCTCCCACACACATACACTTCCTTTCACATGCATATTCCATCTACCTCTATTCAATTACACAGGAAAGTAATTAAAACATTAGTTCTAAAAAGAAAAAAATGGAATAAAATTAAAATAAATTACGCATTTCTACTCAGAAGTTTCAAATTTATACTGCTGACAGCTAAAAAAAGAAACAGAAAGGAAATTCCCCTCCTATCATTATAAATGACTCAATATACATTCTGAGAAAGGAAGTAAACTTCCTCCTTGGGCCTGACAGATAAAACCTTTCAAAAGTTGCTGGTTGATCATTTGCATACGGAAGAATTGTAGAAGAAGCTCCCACTGAACAGATCTGGCATAAAAGGAAAAACACTTCTTTGACATGAGTCTAGCTAAAAGGGCTTAACACTCCCTCACTCGTGGGCTGGGGTCCAAAGCAGGCAATGTCATGAGGACATTAAAAGCAATACAGATTCTGTCACAACATGTTTCTGTCTCGGTTAGCCTCAAGTGCAGAGAAGCCCCGCATATCAATCAGCACATGCAGCAGAATTTAGTGGTGGTTATCACATCAGACCAGAGATGAGAACTTTTATGTCCTTCCCTATAACATTCCCTACAAATAGAAATCTATTATTCAGAGATGTCTACTTCACACCATTGCCATCAGTTCCATGCTGATTTTCTATGTAAGGATAAAATATTTTATTATATCCCTGCTGCAGGATAATAATAGGAAGCAAGGCTAATTAATGACTAAGTGATGAAAGACCAGCTCCATCGGGCTCCTTCTCTTCCTAAGCTGTTTCCCTCCCAAACAGTCAAGCACTTTCCAGTTGTAATTTCAAATGTGGTTGACCTTTTGCTTGCTTTCCTCTTTGTCCCTCTCTGTTCCCTTTTTCCATGTCAGCTTAAATAAACCACCCTGGGAGCCTTTCCACTTAGGAATAGAAATACAGCGGCTACAAATAAATAATATAAACATGTGACATCCTCCCAGCAAAGAGGTAAAGGGACACAGCTGCTCTATCAAACGCCTCTATTGAATTATGAGACTGACTCCAGAGAATTCCTCTTTATATATCAGAGTTCTGAAACTCCTGGATGCATCATGCGCTGGCCATGCCCATGCCCGGTTTAGCAAAGGCGGAAAAAAGTCCCGATACGTCACATGACACCACAGTGGCAATGTGAGTTTGACACTGTTCTGCAGTTCCCGAAGTGCAGAACCACATCTCAAACATCCTCCATCCCTTACGCTGCAGCCCCAGCCTTCCACTTTCATATTTCCAAAAGAAAAGAAGCAACAGAGCCCTACCAGGTCAGGCCAAAGCTCTTTCCAGTCCATTATTTAGTGCCTGGACTTCACCGTTTTCCTCACCTAATAAAGTGGATGAGCCATCTCCCAGGGGATACTTCTGATAGCGGGGGACCCCAAAAGGAGGCACAGCATGAAACTGTTGAGCTAGCAGAGGTTCCAGGCGGGAGGCACAGGGGTCAGCAGCATGAAACAAGTTATAGATCTGTTCGCAGGACGGTCGCATCTGAGCCACTGAAAGACATAAACAACTGTGTAGATTGCTGCTGTCTACAATGGATGAGAAAAGCAGAAAATGTGATGAAATGCAGAAAGATGGAAGAAGTAAACATTTCCGTACCATCGAGGGCGGGCATTACTGTTTTACGAAGTGCAAGTACCAATCCCAGAGGGGAGCCAAATAAGAAAAAGCCAGACACTTTAAATTCCAGCTTCCCAACCATGTTAGGGCCTTCAAAAGTCTCCACCATCGAAGATGAAGAGTTACTGCTCCGTCGAGGGTCTCCTTCTGTTTCTGAGGCAGGCAGACTAAAGACAAGAGGAGGGTAAAATCATGTCCCTGACAGAAAATACAAACAGCCCCCAACCAAGTCCAAATAGTCCACAAATTACATTTGTCCATTTATTTTAATTTCTAAAGAAACTAAGAATGCATGATGGTAAACAGAAAATCAATAACAATTAGTAAAAAGAAAGTGAAGAAATTTAATAAGTACAGCACTTATAGGGTGGAAATTAAAATTAATGACAGAAATGTTGCATTCCGAAGAAGCTTCTTCTCCAGCCCAATTGATTCAGAGTTACTGAACTACAATTTCCAGCATCCTTCTTATTGTTAACTATAGACATACAGCATTTGGATCTGAAGTGAGAAACAATACTGGGAAGCCAGGAGGGTCACACTTACTGTAGTGTTGTGTGAATGAGCTGTGTAAGCCCTAAAAATGCATGACTTTAAGGAACAGCCACCCAGCACAGCAAGAGCATCTGTGTTGGATCCAAAGCACCTCTCCTAGTTCAGATCTGTACACTGCACAACTCCAGTGAGCTTTACATTATTACCACAGCAACGTCTTACACAACCAAGGAATAACAATAGCTGTCTTCCAAAATTCTACCTTTCCAGGGAGAAAGGTAGCATGTATTATAAGTCTTCACATGTTGCTGAATTACCACTCTCGGTTTTTCTTAATTACATGCCATCAAGTCAGTATCAATTCCTAATGATCAAATAAACAGATTTTTCTCAGGATGATCCTCCCCTAACCCGAAACCTTCGGGTCTTGCAATGGTGCAGCCATTGCCGCTGTACTTGAACCCATTCATCTTGCTCCTGGTCATCCTCTTCTCTTTATTTTCACCTTTGTCAGCATTACAGAATATAACGCTTCTGGAGTTGGGATTCAGCAACTTCTTGAGGATTCTAGATTGTGCACCCATGATTTTACTACATTTACTCTAAGTGCGAAAAGTTTAACAGACTCCTTACAGTATGCTTCTTAAGGTTAGAGAAATTCTTTAGAAGACTGAGAGCAATTCAGCTGACCTCCTGTTCTCATCTGGCAAACAAGCAGCTCAGATTACTGAAAAACAATATCTAATAAGTCATCTTGGCTTTATAACCTTGGATTCCTTAATGTCTCACCTGGACAAGATTTGCTGCTGTTGTAAAGAGTCACTCTCTGGAGCGACACTATCACAATATTTCGGAGTAGGAGGAAGTACTCCTGGCTCAGGACTGACACGGCCAATTCCCCCCGATGGTTCCGGCTTTTTGAGCAGTGGATCTCGTACCATAGAAGTCTCTGGAGAAAGGAGATCAGCATTCTGGAAAGAAACATGGAAGGTTGAGAAGTTTCTCTTTTGCTCAGACAATTAGAATGCCTTTTCTTTAGGCAAAAAGGGTAAATCATGACCTCAGGAAAATTACCCAGAATTTTATTTTTCCAGAATTTAATAGCAAGCTGCTGAACCATGGTTGGTGAAATAGTCACTAAAACAAGCAGCATAAAACTCCAACAGCCACACGATGCCTCTTTTAGCAAACCAAACTGTAACCATGACAAAGTATTGCCCCTCACTCTCTTATCAGCCCTCACAATTTGAAACAGCTGTGCCTCCTGGCTACAAAAAAAATATTACCCACCCCTGCAGTTGATCTCAGCAAAAAGAAACAGGACGCTTGACTGATGTACTACATTGCATTCTAGAGCAGACATACGTGAGCAGTTCATCTCTAAAATGAAGTCAGAAGAAAAGATTTCTCCTCTTCATCTATTTTCAGTTCACCTCGTCAGTATGTAATCCCTCTGCCCATTTTACAATTCGGAAGGATAACATCGTCACAGGTAAGGAGAACTATCCCAGGGCTTGGGAACTGACCATGCTGCCACGACGGCTGCTCCCATGACTTCCTGATCCACCAGCACGACTGTGGCAAAGAGCATCAAAGGCCAGGATACCCCCAACACAGTCTCCAATCAGCAGCACCTGTTGGGAGAGATGAAGATGAATTGCTAATAGAAGAAACTCAAGGCATCAGCATTCTTTCTTGCTAAATTTTCAAGAAAACTAGAAAGGATCCAAAATATATATTCTACCTCTTTTCTATAATGGTTATGACTGGAGTAGCAGGAAAATATACTGCATATTAGAGCAGCATTTCCCAAACTTGTCAACTTTAAGATGTGTGAACTTCAACTCCAAGAAGTCCCTAGCCAGTTGTGGCATTAGAAAATTACTAATTTACTAATTACTAAATTATAAATTTTCTAATTTCTAACATTAGAAAATAATTTTTCTAATTCTGCATAGAATTAGAAACCATGCACAACCAATGCACAACCATTGCATGATTATATGGGAATAGGCTCCAATCCTTATGGTTATAGGGAAATACATAACCTTGAAATCATAAGTGATTTGAAGACCTCAAGTGCTATGATTTTTATGGTGGACTCAATCATCATCAATTAACATTTGCAAATGTTAATGTTGCAAAAAGAATGGATCTCTGTAATGTATTATCTCAGTGTTTTCTGAATTACTTTTCCAATAAACATCACAGCTCTATTTCAAAAGAAAAAAAAACTGAACAGGCTGCAGATCTAAATGTCTTTTCCACTGCATCATGTGGGCACATAGGAATTAAAGATCTTTCTTCCTCTGTTCTAGATTTCTGCCTTCAACTTCCTATGCAAGCTCTAAAAATTGCCAGCAATCTAACCTGGCCACAGAAGCCCAAGCCGTCAGGGGAATGGATGAAACTGGCATAAGCCTGGTTGGTGCGGGAAATGACCTTTGCCACGGCGCTCTGATAACTGCCTGAGGAGGTTGCAAGCAGAGGCAAAGCAGCGAGTGGGATGTGATCTTGGCTACTGGACAGACTGTCACCATCGTGGCTGTAGGGGCTGAGTCTAGGAAAGACGAGTTGAAAGGAACATCAAGACACAATCTAAAACACAGGCATGTCTTTGTAGAGAGCTATGAAACTACCTCCCATGTATAATCACGCAATGATGCTTTTAAAAAAAAAAAATGCTTGGGGACTAAAAGACCAATCATCTACCACGTCAATGACAAAAGAAGGCATTCTCCACATACAGCTTAAGCAATGGCCACGGGCCAGCAATCATTTGAAATTAAACTCTGTAGTAAGAGTTTAGCCCAATATCCAGAGCTATGAGCACCTGAAGAAAGAGAGACTAATTCTGAAAAGATGAAACATAATTTTCTTGGAAAGTCCTGCCCAGAAGTCTCTAGTGTTGGCCCAAAGCACAGTTCACCTTCTTGGGTCTTCATTCTGAGTGGTACATCACATACTTCAAGTACTTTACCATACCCAAGCTAGTGCAAAGATCAGGTCTCATATTTTTTTCTAGATCCCAGAACAAAAAATAATAGCAATAGCAATAGCAATAGCAGTAGACTTATATACCGCTTCATAGGCCTTTCAGGCCTCTCTAAGCGGTTTACAGAGAGTCAGCATATTGCCCCCAACAATCTGGGTCCTCATTTTACCCACCTCGGAAGGATGGAAGGCTGAGTCAACCCTGAGCCGGTGAGATTTGAACCGCTGACCTGCTGATCTAGCAGTAGCCTGCAGTGCTGCATTTAACCACTGCGCCACCTTGGCTCTTATGGATGAAGCAGGTACCACTGCCCTCATTAAGCCCCTTCATACTCCTGGTGCCTGCAATTCTTGTTTTCTCAGGCAGACAGCCAAATAGCACTACTCGCATCAAGTCTTTAGCAACTCAAAAAAAAAAAAAACATGCTTCCTACTTGGAGACCAGGACATAGGCAGCAGAGCAGATCGGTGGACAGGGCACTAGGCGTAATGCTATGTGCCCCAATGCTTCAGGAAAGTGCAGTCGGGTGACTGAGTCCAAGGTAGCAGTGAGTGTATGCACATCAGCCTGTTTGGAGCCTGGTTCTCCCACACCCTGGTCTAGGATGTTGCCACTGTGGAGGATCAGGAAAAGGGCATGAATACGGCAGGTCCCAGAGAGCCCTTCTGAGCCAACCTATGGAAACAAGGCAACAAGGCACTATGAGGATAAGATCTTTTGATGGAGGTAGTGCGTATCATCCCGGGCGGGAGGGGGGGTGTTTGTTAAATGTGGCCATGTATTGCAGCCAAGGATATGAAAAATTGGCTAAGGATATGGCAACAGTGATCCTGTAATCATCACAAGTCGTCTCCGATTGCTTGGAGCCACAATAACTTAAGGCCATGAAATAGGAATGCTGTGTTGCAGGCATAGGTTTCCTCACCTCTGGTGGGCCAGGTACAGGGGCACCATCACTATCTGACTTGGTTGCTCCAGTCGCATCAACTGCAAAGGAAATTTATATTGCACTCAGTGCAAGGTGACAAAAGGCAAAAGACCAATAACGGACTCTAGAGGTCAGAAAGGGCAGAAGTCATAGAAGTCATGGAAATGTATTTCTCTTACCTAGAACCTCATCCCGTTCATTGGGTCGCTCCAGAGTATCAAGGAAGTCATTTGAATTCCACTTAGTGATTTCCTTTGCAAACACATCATCACTGTCAGACAAATCCTCTAAAATGAAAAAGGGTTACATGCAGTCTAGTCACTGCAAATACACTGAAATGCCCATCATGGTTAAAAATCAGAGTTAAGAAAGAAAGGATAATTTTTAAACGAAGGCACATTAGATGAATGTCTCTAACAGTCCTCCAGATTCATAGGAAGAATTCTTTTCTAGCTTTGCAATATATCATCTGTGGAGACCTTGGTGCTCTCTGAGCTTGGTTGTTTGCTTGCAGACATTCCATTACCCAACTAGGTAATAACATCAGTGAGAGTACTGTAGGTCTTGCTCCCTATGTGTATACAGTAGTTTGCCTTGCCAGTTTTACTGAGGTATAGTATTCTCCTTGGTAGTTCCTTGATTGTATTCTGCCTGATTGTCTGATGTTAATCTGCCCTACACAGTAGCAATCATAGTGCTTGTATTGAAGCTTGTAGATGACTCATTTTTAATTCTTGGGCTATTGCGTCTTTTTGTTTTCTTAAGATGTTTTGGAGGGCTCACAGGTAGTCCTAGGTAAAGAACTACTTGTTTAACAATGAAAGTTACAATGGCACTGAATGAGAGGTGATAACAATCAGTACTCAAAGTTCTGGCCATCTAAGCAATCTCACAGTCATATGATTGCCATATGGGCACTTGGAAACTGGCTCACTTTTATGACAGTTGGAAATGTTCCACAATTACATGATTACAAATTGCAACCTTCCCGGCTGGATGCCCACAAAGTGAATGTGGAAGATGGAAAGGAATGTTGCAATTTGCCTAGATACGCCTCCCCACCCTGCATATCCTGCCTCAGCCTCCTGTGCTCATGTCAGCTTACCCACACACCCTCCCTAAGCTTGTGGTGCATCTCCCTTTCATGCACCGTTCCCAAGCCTTCTTGTACTCATGCAGCACCTCCCCAGCCACCCTTCTCAACCAACAGCCATCCCAAGCCCCACAGCATTTGCGCTGTGCCTCCCTGCTACTTGCATACACTCCCCAAGCTTCGCTGCCTCAGAACAAACCCTGGCAACCTCCTTCCTGGCAGCAGCTGCAGCCACCCCAAACCCCATCATACTCAGGCCTCCTCGGCTATCCATACATCTCCTTGCTCCCTTTCTCACCTGGCATCAACCACTTATCTACTGGCTGGGCTGCTTGCAAGCCACCTGACAACTTTCTGCTGGGTTCCTCACTGAGTTTGCTTGGAAGATGGTAGGAAGTTGAGAGGTGGTGCCTGCTTAACAACCCACTATCCTCCCTTAACAATGGCAATGGGAACTACAGAGATTGCTACTGCTTAGTGATGCACTCACTCTGTATGGGGTTTTAAAACCATATTGCTTAGTGATGGAAATTCCAGTAAAAATTACTGTCCCAACCTAAGGGCTACCTGTAGTTGGGCCATATGCTACAGAAAGTTGTCAGGTGGTTATTTCTGAGATGGTTTTGATGTATGCTAATGCTCCCCATTTTTGAAGCTTCTGCTGGTTATGCTATAGTGGGCTAAGTGGTCAGGCACCTTTAAACAAAGTTGTGTGACTATTTTGATGTATAGGCGGTCTGTTTCTTTTTTTGGTGTTGCTGCAATGCATTTACATCTGAAATAATATTCTTATATAGCTCCTCCTGTGAGATACTTTGGTAATGGAGAACTTGGGTTACTGTGGGTTGCTGTACAAAGATTATAACAGCTATTACGTAGGACAAACAGACAGAAGATTAGCAGAGTGCTTGATATTCAGATAACTCAGCTACCAATAGATACATAGTGATAAACCACATTTACATTCAAAAGAGACACTATAAATGCTAAGAAGAAAACAAAACGACTAGAATACTTCCTCTCCAGCAGCCAAAATCCAGATAAGGATTAACACCAGGCAAACAGGCAGAAAACAATACCCTAATCAAAGAATTACCAAGGAAAAAGCACACACAACTGAACTGGCAGGGCAAGCTACTATATGTAAACAAAGAGCAATCCCCACAGACATTGTTAATGATACCTCGGTAGGTAATGAAATGTCTGCAAGCAAACAACTAAGCTTAGAGAGCACCAAGAACTCCACAGTTCAATATATGTGCTTATACATATATGTACACCTATACATATTCTACTAGAATCCATGATCTGTAAGTAGAAATTTTAAACGCTGGAATTAACCTTTGGGATTCACAAAATAGAAGTCAAAAAGATTTCTATCTGAAATTATTAAAAGTTATTGATCTACCTGTTGATAATAATGGATTGGGCACGTGTTGGTTTGATGGAAGGTAGTTTCCTATATTTCCTATGACACTTGATCACATATGCACACATAAAAAAGACCCCCTTGTACCTTTAACAACTAAGCTATGAACCGTCTTTTCATGTATGGACATGCTACCTCTTTTCAAAGAGTAAGGATAAGAGACTTTGACCATTCCCTCACCATATAAATCCATATAAACCTCAATACATACACAAAGAATTAGTTCTTACAGGTTTGCTTCTGCATAACTGGAATCCCAAGCCTTGGAACCAAAAGTAGTTACTTGTCATCTATAAATGAGTCTGAACTCAAGTCTTCTCAGAAACAAAATACAATGTAGAATCATGTTACTCTATTCAGTATTACGAACCATGAGCATCAAAGAATTCCTCTTCGGAACTGTTCTCAGAGTCCCGTGCAATATTTTGCATCCGCCATTCTGATAAACTGTGTGTAGACACCACAACTGCAGTGGAGACATATCAAGTGAAATCATAATGACCAAGACAGCTGGGTAAAGACAAGTCATTCTCAGCAGCAACAGGAACTCTGCTATGATCACTGAAATCAATAGTATCTTATTATGAAGTTTGTTTTACTATCTCAATTTTCTGAATTTGCAGAAAATTGCAGGAAGTCCTTAATTTTTTTACAGACAAGAAAAGAGTAGGAAAAGGAAATAGGTCAGATTACAATTATTAATAGAACCAATTTCACAAAAAACTATTCTGCAACAGAACTTTCTTCCCTGTATATCAATATCTATTTTCACCTTTTCCTCAATTCTTTTCCTTCTTTAAGTTCCAAACACAAGAAAAAAATTACAAAGGAAAACAAAAACAATGGTTGCTATAATTGATACTCTAATACACACCCTAACTAATCTTTATATGTATCAATATTCATAATGCCATGCCTTTGCACAATGCAAATAAAGTGAAGTATTTCAAATGAGTCAAAAATCAAATGAGTCAAGAACTAGTAAGCGAAGAGACAAAAATCATTTGTAAAAAAAACCTAAGCCAACATTACCATCAATACAGGAGTAGTTAGTCCCTGATTATAACCTTGAATGAAATGTTACTGAATTTCATCCTTTCTTACAACTGTCGTTCCGCTGCAGCGAGAGTGTATTTTCATCAGTATCATATTATGTTCTATTCTTTTAAAAGTTCCTTTCCATTTGTTGCAGTGGTCACTTACCAGCATGTTGAGAAGAGTATGAGGACCGAGAAGAAGATGACCACTGCTTTGCAAATGGGTCATCGGGAGAGGAATCGGGAGCCCTCAGGCTATCCACTCTGTCCTGTGTCTCATGGCCACCTAACTCAGCTGGACACTCAGGGCTGGGCACACCAGGATCTAATTCAGGTTCCACGCATGTAGCCATCTTCTGAGCCAGCATACGAGCTGTTTCCTCCTCCAACCTTCGAATGTCATCCATTGTGAGATCTATCCATTCGTCCTGCCAACACCAGGCCTGGCGATGAGCTCGCAGCATCACTTTCCGTAGACCTACAGTGGGAAGACATTCAGGAATCATGATGGCATAGCCCTGCCCAGACACACCGCACTTTGGTTAGGTATAACTTCAGCTCCTCAATACGTTAAAAGAGATTAAACATTATTTACTTAGTGAATGCTTCTTCCAATGCTTTTTAGTAACTTAAAAGATTACAATCCAGTTCAGCTTTAAAAGAAAAATTCAGTTTAGAGAATAAAAGGAGCCAACAGGATTGCAATTCTTTTTCCTTTTGCATATGAAGACGCAAGATTCATTTTGGCATTTTATTTACCTGTAACTAATACATGAGCATTTTTATTTATTTATGATATTTAGGTAGCCCCCTATCTTACGTGAAAGTGGCTTTGGGAAGCATATAGCACTTAACCAAATAATAAATACATAAAGACAGTCACACTTAAAAATAACTATTAAAAGGCAAACAAAAAGGAGGGGGTGATATTAAACCATAGCAAGGGAGTCATTGATAAATCTCCCTGGTTCCCCCCAGGGCTGATGACATAACCACATCTTGAGGGATTTATGGAATGCTGAAAGGGGTGGGGCTAATCTTATTGGGATGTGGGGCTCTGCTAGATGTAATTACTCTGCTAAAATCACAAGACAATGTCAAACTAATAGTCAGGAATGGAGATAATCCCTTGAGTTAAATTGAAACCAGGGTCTCTAAATCAACCTACATTATTCACATAATGATGATGTGGAAAAAGTGAAGTAAGGAATCTAAACTTCTACAGACACCTGAAACCAAAACATGCTGTACCACCCCATTACTACCACTTCACTACATCAAGTATGTCATTAGACAGTTGTGCTTTAGCCTCTTTGTCTAATTTCATATCACAAAACTTTATCTTTAACTTGATATGACCATTTCCATCACATATGTTTAAATTGAAGAAGAGATCTCACATTTGTTTCAATCTAAACTCTTTCAGAAATCCAGAAATCACGCTCAAATCCAACCAAAAATTATTGTATCCAATTTATATTGGCAACTTGTCATCCTCATAATCTGCCACATGTCAGCTACTGCATTCAGGGACACAGATTAGATGAGCAGACAGCACAGCGTAGGTCATTTTTTTTTGTTTGAGAGTGCTGCACAAACTTGGATGACAATTCAGTTCATGTCAGAAGCTGATTTACATGGATAGTCATAAATGTCTTTAAGGCTCTACCCGTAGTATCTCCTAATTCTAAACAAATCTCCCCAATCTAATATTAGGCTTAATTGGCAACCATTATTTTATATCATCTATGTTTCTGAAGTCTTTTGAAATCAGGCTGCTCCTTCAACTGTGCTGTCAACACAGTCTCTTTCTCTAATTTACTGGTTTCAGCCCTTGTGACTGTCTGAAGTCTTTCTCTTACATGGTTACTACCACTAATACTTCTGAGGTCACAGTAGCAAGAGTATCTCCCAAGCAACCAATCAATACATTAAAACCTTTTGGGTGAATTTTTACCCCAAAGGGTAGAATTGAACTAGAGCAGTAGTTAATCAGCAATACAGAGGAAGAAAATCCAATTTCTCACCAATTTCAGAGATATCATTTAGAGTTGCCATACGCTGGAAGATTGTACAAATGCCTTGTAATTAGCAGAGAGCATGCCTCTGCCAGCACAAATACAGGATCAATCATCCTATTCCATATTATTGTGGCCTAAATCAACTAGCTTCAGTAGGCCAGAGTTAGGGGACCTGTAGCCCTCCAGATGTTGCTAAACTATTACAATTTACAATGTTGGATGGAACTGCTATGAGTTACAATTCAACATCAGGAAAAACCAAACCATCCACTACTCCCACGGATCTTTGTTTGCTGAGGGAAGATGAAAAAGAATGGCAATAAAGAAGATATCATGCTTACCTACATCATGGATGAATTGTTCAATCTTGGACTGCATGCCCCAATACCGAAACTCCACCTTACAAAGCTTGTAAGCACACATAAAAGGCCCAGTATTTCCACTGTCTAGCCAATCATCTCCCAGAGGTCCACGTCCTGTCTTCACCGAATGGTATAATCGTGGATCTTCCTCTATCTTGTATTCACTGGGTGAGATGAGATCCCGTACAATATCAATAGTATCTGTGGGTAAATAAAGGTTTTATAAAAAGTAATTGATTGTAGAAAATTAAGATAATCATACTTCGATTTCTCAAGTTGCTGTTCCTTCTTATCTCAAAATTGCTTCAGATGCTCAGCTACATTCCTGACTACTACTCTTACATAGTGCACATATTTTGCCAGGAGCCTGGCTGTTCTTCCGCTCCTGTGTGTAACAGCAGCATCCCCTAAGCTATTGTCCTCCAGCTGCACTGGATTTCAACAATGGAATGATGGTTGGGAATTCAAAATGTGAAAGTTCCTAACATCTACATGGAGTGAAGCATTCTCAAGGCTGGTGAAGCTGCCTTACAGCACAGCACTTTATATGCTCTGAGTGAAACAGATGTCCACTTATACCTCAGTCACTTACTGACCCTAAATATCATCAGATAACCATCATTGATCAGCCACTCCTGGACAATCAGTTGCTCAGCATAGAAGCATTCATGCGATACTACATCCTGATAACTTAAAAGTGAGAGGAATGGGCCAGTTTGAGAACTTACCCACAATTCTTTGCCTGCGCTCTGTGGTATTTAGATTGAAGATATTGGTTTGCTTTCCAGCATCTGGTCGGTAGTAAGTCTCAATCTCAATTGAAAATTTCTCCACAAAGGGGCATGTGTATCTATGAAGAAGAGTATGAAACTCAGTTCCACCTTGGCAAATGCCAAACACATCTTCCAGCCCCCTATTGTCTTTCTCTCACCTGGTCCGTGTGTAGGGGTAGGCATTCCAAGATTCTTCCTCCACCTGCAGAGCAGCCTTAGGTAGGAGAGCACGGAACCAGCTAGGAATATGAGAGCCCACATGGTAGATCTTATGTGTATATTGACCACTTCCTCCTGGACCATCATCATATGGTCGGTTGGACAGGATTTCAACCCCGCTGCCTTCGCCACTGGATTCCTCACGGCTTTTTTTCTAAGGAGGGAGGGAGGGAGAGAGAGATCTTCAGCTTGCAATTTATATCTTTTGTTCTTTGCATCCCTCAACCTGCTTGGTTTTGGTCCTGTTAACCCCAAAACACTATCTGGTTAAATAAATATGCCTGCTCTATCTATCCAAATTGATGTTACCTGGATCATGTAAAGTTGGGCCACCTGGTATTCAGCCAGGCTCATGGGCAGCAGTATATGATATTCTTTGATCAGCATCTTGACTGTCAGATCCTGTGAGTTGAGACACAGTAGAGGGTAAATAAAGGCATGCAGCCAACACAGATGCCTATTTGTGGCTGTGGAAGACTTAAAAACATAGTATGAAAACGGGATCACAGAAAACATTAAAACAGCCTAAGAAAATTGTGTTTTGGACAACACAGCTTAGCCAATTAAAATATTTTTCCTAAATGCTCATTTCTATCATAAAGATATTTTTTTTGTATCAACCAGATTGGCATGTATTTATTTTTCTCATCATCAGAAAATCATCATATGTCAAACTGAAGCATTATATAAGTATGGAAAGGAGTTGCTGGTCAAAAGTAGTAGCTTAAACCACATTCTTACTTCCTCAAATGAGAAGCTGGAAAGAAATCCCCATTTGACCTTATTTCCAACCCACTGGGTAAGTTTCCATAGCAACTCTTAAGCAAATGAGAGGCTAGGGAGTTTCAACATAGCAAAAGGGGAATGTGGAAGGGAGTAAAATAATAGCATCTCACACTTTTTTATATCTTCCTGGACCATGTCAATGGTTTCCAACTTTGCCATATTATGATTTGAGAAAAAGAAATTCTGCCATCCCTCACATGTAAATAAATGTTTTCACTGGGACTGGGTGAGGCAAGAAACAAACCTAAACTTATAACAATACATAACAATTACATTTTAACCTATATAGCAAATAAAACAGTGGCAGAACTTAACTTAAAAAAAAAACGGTTACTTTGGAGAAAAAAACAAAGATACAATTTAAAACTATTTTTAACATGAAGAATGAATTGCTTTTTTTGGCCTAACATTTGAAATTGGAATTCCATTTTGAAAACCATTCTCTCATTTACCAAATTTTGGGGGGGGGGGGGATTACCACCTTGTCCCAAAACTACTTCTCTTAAACTGTTCTTAAAATGCTATAGCTTGCAGAACATGGGCAGGTTATAATCTACTTTTGGTGCTCTTTGAATTAATACAGTCACTCTGAGATAACAGTCTCACACATCCCCTCCCCCAAGCCTTGTGCTTGTAAATCCTTCCCCTTACTGTTGCAATTTCCTTCTAGCTGCAGTCTTGCAGCTCTTCCTCTCAGAAGTGATAATTTCCTATGCAGAGTGAGTATTTGATCAGATGGTCAATTTTGCATAGAAGCTTCATGCCTTCCAGGCATGATTAACTCCTCCTCTAAAAGGCAAATGCAATGTGTTAAAAGCAAACGTTCAGAGTTCATAGAGGGATGTGGAACTGAGGGTTACTTTGCATTCAGAATAATTTTGCATCAAACTTAATTTTTGTGCAAAAACAGCACAAAAAATACTTTGTGGTGATCCTCCTCCTCTCATCTCACAACCTCCTTTAAGAGTTCATTTAGAGAAATGCTGAAGTATGTAATTTCTTTGGTTTTGGCTTAACATAGTTTCAAAAGCCAATTATATAGCTTATTATGTTGTATGAAGCCAGCTAATAATGGCTTGTGCACCAAACAATGGCTAAATGAATCTTGGCTAAATAAGATGTATGAATTTGTTTTATGATTTACAGGCTTGTGTCAATCCAGCTAGACTAGAACATGGAGCTGCTAAAGCTATGTAAATAACTTGCTAAAATAAGGCTTTAGAGTTAGCCAAATTTATTAGAATCAAGGTTTCTAGATAAGTATGCATACAGTTGTGGTGTCAATGCTGATCCTCCTTCTAATTCTCTACTTCTATGATTCTGTTTATGCAACACTTTGCAATCAAGGTTTCTGGGGATTTAAGGGGCGTCACTACCGCCCCTTCTCTCTTATACCAGCATGCCATGCAGAATTTAAATCATGCTTCTTTGCTCAGCAGTGTTGTGCAGGGAAAAGCTACTAAATCTCTGCCCATCATGCATCTATTCAAAGCACTGGAGTACTTTCAAGAAAAAAAAGTATGCAGCCCTCCTAGAGAGCTATTATCATGGATATCTTTTGCCTTATGAGCCTATCAAATTGCTCTGGCCCTTGCAACCTACTGTTCCTGTAACATACCTTAAGCAATCATATAACTTTACATACATTATTACATCCTGCCATATCCTGAAAAGTCAAAAAGCCTTATTATCCTCATAAGGGAATAAGGAGGCAAGAACTGCCACTAAATTTACAATTTACCAATTGAATGTTATAAATTCTTGGGAACCCTGTATCTCATTTGAAAAATAAAGTACTATACTAGATGTGGCCATACTTGAAAGCAATACAACACAGGGGTTTACAGAGTTTTTATGAAAATACATCTGAAGAATGTAAACAATTAAGTTGTATGTTCTACTCACTAACTGGGAAACGTTAGTGTACCCTATGCTCTGTATTCCAGTATCAGTGTCTATGAAAAACTGTCTTTCCAAGTACAAATACATTAAACCTTTCAAAATTCTGAATGTGAAAAAAAGAAAGCCAAAACCTGTTGAGACTTTACAGAATAAACAACATAGATTAGTATGCTATGTTTTCCATTCCATGTAAATAGCAAATATGCAGGAAAAATTTGTTAAATAAATTAAGCAATATTTATTGTCTACAGTACATTTGTAATATACGGTGAACTTCAGCACAAGCAGATGAAAGATGAAATTCACTATTTCCCACAACATATTAGAAAAACTACTTCAGAATCTAACTCCTTATAAAGTCATGTTCTACAGAAATAGCTTCTAAAATAGTGTCTAAAATATTCCCATGTTATGGCCACAAATCACTCAGCCTGCTATTCATTTAACATGCATTGTATTGTGTCTAGTAAGTAATCTTGTTCAAATGAATTACCCAAATTCTTACAAGCACATGATGGAAAGCTTGCTAATTGCCATAACCAATTAAGCAAAGCTCCTTAGAGGGAAATACATGTAAGCTTCCATCCTAAAAACTTATTCAGGACATACATGTAGGATTTGGATACAAAGCTAAGCATACTTAGAAGAGAAGGAAACAGGCACACTGAGTAAACACACACACACACACACACTGAAGCCTTAGATTAGGCTATATATTTTTGTTTGTTTCTTGGTGTATTTATCCTCATAGTCTATATCTAACTTTTTAAAAATAATAAAGGAAGCACCTCTCTCCCCAAAAACATGCTTGCCTCAAAAAAATAACACAAATTTAACTTTGCCTAATTCATCCACAAAGCTCAGGTTTCAATAGGTCTGCCCCATTAGAAGAAATTACCACTTCCACAAGAACAAAATTAAGCCAAAAGATGCAGTTTATACTTGACTTCCATGTTTTCGACGCTACTGAAGTGACTAAAGGTATGCTTCCCTTGCAGCCATTAACGGGCACAGGCGCCCTGTATAAATAAAACATGGCAACCTGATGGCTGAACGATGGTTGGTTCAAACACACCTTCCTTCCGACCCAGACATTCAATACAGCAGTAAATTACCATAAAAAAACTACCGTTCACGCTAACTAAATTCAACCCACAGCACAGTCAGAAAAGCGTTGCTCGGTTGGAATAATCGGAGCAAAAGGGAACGCGAGGCGCTGTCATCAGCCCCGGCGCCTTTGCTCAGGTGAGACTGTTGCTTTTGGAGAATGGCGACCTGAGATGAAAGAGGGTGGGCTGGCACGGGGGGTCCCGCTTCAACCCCCATGAGAAGCCGCTGAGGAGGGGGAAAAGTGCTGGGCTGCTTGATTTCTTTCCGGGGCCCAAAGAGGGCCATCCCCGTCGTCTTCGGAGCGACATCCCTTCCCACCTTTCTTCCCACCTCCTCCAAAGCCCATGCAAGCGTTATTCTGCACCCCTTCCTTACAGCCCAAACCGTGTCCCAAAACCTCCCCTGCTGATACCGGGCTCCTGTCCCGCCCCGCCCGCCCCTTCCACCCAGTGCAGCGCGTGCCTTTCCCCAGCCTCCGTCCCAGCCCCACGGCTACGCGTGCACACCGACACTGCCTGCACACACATACACGCGCCACCTCCCGGGCCCAGACCTGTGGCTCGATGTAGGGATGCCGGCGATGGAAGCAATGGTATGCTACGTCGGGGAAAGACGTCGGGGGGGGCGGGGAGGGGGTGGTGGGGAGAGAAGGGAAAGAGACCGCCGACCTCACTGAGCCCTCCCTGAACCCGCCCTTTCTCTGCCTGGGGCTGCCCGGGCGCTGTCAGGGCTCGGTTGCTGCGCTGGCGGGAGCATGGTCTTGAGAAGCAGCGCGGCCGGGGAGGGGAAGTCCCACTGACTGGCGATAGATGGATCGACAGACCGAACCAGCCCGCTGCCTCTCGCGTCACCGCGGCGGAGAACCGCGTTCAGCCGCAGTCCTTGCGGGGGAGGGAAGGAGGAAGAGGAGGAGGCGGGAGTGCGATTGGGAGGGGAGCGGGCAGGGCTGCGAAAGAGCGTCGAAGTGGGCGCGCGGAGAGAGAGAGAGAGAGACGGGCAGCCGGAGGCAACCAAAGCCTCCGGCCGAGCTGTGTCTGGACCTCGTGTGCTTTGAAGGATACTGACACGGCCGGTCTCCTGTGCATTCAGTGAGAGGCCCTCTACTGATCCTTAGGGGTCGAACGGTCGGTCCCCATTGTTATTTTTCGCTGCCTTTGAGAGAGAGAGAGAAAGAGAGAGAGAGCAGAGGATCGGAGGAAGGAAAGCTTAAAGGGGAGCGGGCTGCAGTTCAGAGGGAAGCCGCCTGTGCCGGCATCAGGCAAGTGAGGAGCTGGCTGGGGAAGCAAGTGCAGCCTCCGGGTCCCCAACACTCGGGGCTCTCCACCCACCCCTACTTCATTCACAGAGTGCGAGGCCTCCCGCTGGCTAGTTCCTTTTTTTAGCGGGGGCATAGGTTTCCATAGAAACTACGACCCAGAACTTGCAAAGTCTCGGCACCTCCGAGCGCGCGAACTCGCTCTTCCCCGCCCATCCTTCTGTGACTTCATTGCTCGTTACCACGGAAACGCCAGTGACGTCAGATCCCGGTGACATCAAGGACTCGAAGAACGGAGACCTTTTTTCGAAACCGTTCAAATAAGCTTGGTTGTTTTGTGTTTGGCGTGGCTGAACTTAAGACAGCCGGGAAACTGAAGTCTACTCCCACCTTAGGCATGAAAGCTTACTGGGAGATTGTGGGCCAGTCGTGCGCTCTCTCTCACATCCGATCCACTTGTGAGGAAAAGAGGAAGCAGTATTAGGCACCTTTGCCGCCTTGAATTACTTATATTAAAGGCGCGGAAGGGGGGAGGGAGAGATGAATAAATAGCAACTGGAACAGAAATATATTTGTATTAGACCTACATTCAAGGGACCTCTTAACCTTTTTTTTACAGAGAAACCTTACTGTCTGCTTAATTTCCCCAATAATGGATCCCTGTCAAACACTCAGCATCTCCAGACTCCAACCTACTGCAACACACTGGAATGAAATAAGACCAAGAAACATCAGCTTTAATTATGCTAGCCTTTGGGTGGAACTTCAGCTTTTGTCAGGATAAATTCTTCCTCAGGTTGAGCTTGGGGTCTGGTCAACTCCGTATTATTATCATGGCAACAGTAGGGAAATTGTTTTCATTGCTTTTTTTATGGGGCGTTTTCCAGTTCCTCATCTAGTCTGTGATTTCCCGGTAATCTATCAAAAGTATGAACTGGTCTGGCTCTTGAGTTTTTTCTGACAGCAGCCATACCGGTAGTTGGCTAAGCATGACTGCCTGACATGATGAGACTATCTGTTACATCTGTTAGCAAAATAAATAAATAAAATATCAGATTAATGCTATTCAGATATTACATACAGTCAAAGAGATAATGTTGGAGAAACCACATGGAGCTTGTTACAACATGTTCAAAAACATCAGTTGAGCCTTAGAAATGGAATATGTTTGGAAAAGACACAATCGGACTCCTTGATTCCCCAGGATATAAGGGAAAATGCATTCAGGCTTGCAAGACTGATGTCACACCTTTGAAATCAGGAAACAGGCTCCTCACTAGAACTATATTGATACAAGATATTGTGACAGAATCCTGCAAGCATGACTAAAAATACAACTATCTAGAATAGGGGTGTAAAACTCGCATCGTTACAGAAGCGTCATGTAATGTACCGGGACTTTTCCCCACTTTGCTAAACCGGGTGTGGGTATGGCCAGCATGTGACGCATTCTGCCCGCGGGCTGCAAGTTTCACAGCTCTGCTCTAGAAGCTGCAACTTCTGTAGAACACAGTGGCACATTCTGGATACTCTGCAATTTGCCTATGTTGCATCATTCCTGTGCAAGCTGCACTGGCTGCCAGTTGCTTTCCAGGTCCAATTCAAGGTGCTGATGATCACCTTCATGGTACATGGCCAGTTTTCTGCTGGACTGCCTATCCTTGGGGGTATCTGCCCATCTCACTAGGTTAGAAAGAGAGGACAAACCTCTAAAATTCTGTCATCGTGGAACCTCAGAAGGGCAGATTTTCTGTAGCCACCTGGGTTTTTGAAATAGCCTCTAACCTGAGATTGAGAGGGCCTCTACCCTTTTAACCTTCCAGAAGGTCAAGAAGACCCGACTCGTCCACCAAGTATTCAGCTAGCATGGAAAAGAGTTAGGTAGTCAACAAAATGGATGGTTCTGGCACCTTGGCAAGAAGGGTACAGTTGCAAGAAAAGTATGTGAACCCCTTGGGATTATATGGAGTTTTGCATGAATTGGTCATAAAATGTGCTCTGAACTTCATCTAAGT